TTTCATGAAAAACTCATCAGCTAATCCTGTCTCCTACCTTGTAATTAAAAAAAAAAGTCTGACAATGAAAAAATAATTAACAATTCAATTTTTTCCGTCTCTAGAGGAAAAGCGAAAAAGAAATGCTACATTCTTAATAGATTATGAAATATCTTTAAAATCCTTTCTCCCCTTCTTGATCATTTTCAAGGTCCCCACATCAGCGGTTTTCAAACTTTGGAGTACATCAGCTTCACCTGCAAGGTTTGCTAAAACACACACTGCTGGGCCCCACCCCAGAGTCTCTGATTCAGTAGGCTTGGGGTGGGGCCTGAGAATGTGCATTTCTAACAAGTTCCCAGGCTGTTGGACTAGGGACCACACTTTGAGAGCCCAGATGATTGCAAAAGCTCATGGTTTTCTTGTATTTGTGGGTGATATACAGAAACTCAAACATTAGAACTTTTGATTTTTTTTCTTTTTTTCTAATTTTTATTGAAATTCTATTTAGTTAACATAAAGGGCAATATTGGTTTCAGGAGTAGAATTCAGTGATTCATCACTTACTATGACAGTGCTCATCACATCAAGTGCCCTCCTTGATACTCATCACTGGGCAGCCCCTCCCCCACCCACCTCCCTCCATCACCTTGGTTTGTTCTATGTTTTTAAGAGTCTCTTATGGTTTGTTTCCCTCTTTTTAAAGAAAGGAGAGGAAAAAACAGGAGGAAGGCAGAGATTCCTCTAGGAATCTAAGGGAAAAGAAAAAGGAAATACTCCACTGCAGCCTAGCTGAAGGCAAAAGGTAGTATGTAAGGATTTCCATGCAGGTGAGGAAAGCAGAAATCCGGGACGCCTTCATTTAATTTTCAGAATAGGATTCCTTGTCTAGGCATCAAAGAAAGAAGGCTGGAGGTGATGATTTGGTTACAACTTTCCTTCTTAAAACCCACTTTATTTTGATTTTATTTATTTATTTGAGAGAGAGAACAGAGAGAGTGGGGGAGGAGGAGCAGAGGGAGAGGGACAAGTAGACTCTGTACAGAGCGCGGAGCCCCAAGTGGGGCTCAATCCCATGACCCTGAGATCAAGACCTGAGCCAGAATCAAGAGTCAGACATTCAACCGACTGAGTCACCCAGGTGCCCCTTAAAAACCCACTTTAAAAGGACCCTTTTAATATTATGACTCTGCATCTTTGATTTTTCTTTTATGAAGATTATATTTCATTGTCTCTGTAAAATTGTATTCAGTTTTTGTTCATAAAACATATGCATTGGGGCACCTGGGTGGCTCAGTCGGTTAGGTGTCTGCCTTCAGCTCAGGTCGTGATCCCGGGGTCCTGGGATCGAACCCTGCATCGGCCTCCTTGCTCCGTGGAGAGCCTGCTTCTCCCTCTCCCTCTGCTGCTCCCCATGCTTGTACCCTCTCTCTCTGTCAAATAAGTAAATAAAATCTTAAAAAAAAAAAAACATATGCATCATACAATTGAGAAACAAGTTGCCAGTTCAGAGTCCGTTTACCATAGACGTCTCTCCCTTTATTCTTGCTAATATTCTCAACTCTGCCACCACTCTGCAAATCCCCAAACTTGTGTCAATATAATTATCAGCCCTCTTCAATTCTGCACCTACTGCTGAGCACTGCTGGGGAGGGTTATACTACCATGCTTATAAACTTTTTCTCCCAGGGAAAAGAGCTGGAGAGCAAGGTAGACTCCTTCCCAGAAGCAGGGGTATTGTGTGAAGAACACCTGAGGATGGGATGCCTGGGTGGCTCAGTCAGTTAAGCGTCTGCCTTTGGCTCAGGTCATGATCCCAGGATCCTGGGATTGAGTCTCAAATCTGGCTCCAGCAGGGAACCTGCTACTCACTCTGCCTCCCTCTCCCCCTGGTTGTGCTCTCTCTCTCTCTCTGACAAATAAATAAGTAAAATCTTAAAGGAAAAAAAAAGGAACACCTGAGGAGGAGAGTGTGATGGAATTTTCTCTCCATGACATCTCAATCTATGGCAAAAATAAAAATAATATGATGCTGGTATAATCTGATTTGTTGTGAAAGCTAGTAGGGGGTTCTCAGTTTGTCCTGAACTGATTTGGTTTTAAAGATAAAAAAGAGAGGATTAAATAAAGTCTAATTTTCAGAGATTGTGGATTGAACGTTAGATTCACCCAGGTTATGAATTAATTAGGAGTTTGAACCCAATTTTGTCTCAGATTCTGACAGGGGATCACCTCCAACAAGCGATTCATAGGTAACTTATAGTTCCATACCTCTCCAAACTTACACTTTTCAAACTGCACTGGGTCTTATATAGCATTATAATATAGTATAACGTATATAATATAAGGCATATTATAGGGTACTGCTTGTATTTTTATGTTTAATTTCCTGTTCCTTCTCCCTTCTATAATTAAACACCAACCCTTTTCTTCAACTCATAGAACCTGATCTTCACTCCCATTTAATGAGAAATTGAGTTCATAAAGAGCAAATTTCCTCAAACTCCAGACTTTCTCCTTCTATCACTTCAAAGCCAGATGCTTCATTTGGCCTCTTACTCCCCTGTTCGCCTTCCTCCGTGACATTCTGCCTGCGGTTACTCCTGTCTGTCCTTTATCTTCAAAGTCTCCTCTTTCAAGACTAAACTGCTCAAGGTTCTCATTTTAAAATTGAGATAGCTCTCAAACCCACATGCCTCCTTGCTAATGCCCAAGGCTCTCCTAAAGATAGTAATTTACGCTTTCGCTCTCTATGTTCTCACTTCCTCAACACACTAAAATTTGAACCCTGCTTCCATGACCCTGACCTAACTTTCTACATATAGAAAGACTGATATACATGAGTACCTTAATTTTTTTTTCCAAAGAAGACAATCTTCCTTTAACTTTCTACTGATACGCCTGACCTTCTGATGAGTCCCTTCTTTGATGTCTTCTAACGTCTTCTAAAGTATTGATTTCTGTAGGATGATTCTCTTCTGGCCCATTGAACCTCATTTTGATCTGTGTTGCTGGATTCACTTCCTCTGCCTGCTTTGTCACTATTCCCCAGTGTGATGATCTGGGCCTTCTCCTTTCACTCTGGGACTTCTCCTGAATGACTTTATACACTCTTGTGGTTTTAACTACATATGGAGTTTTTAACCACAGTTATGCCTCCCAACTGTGCATTTCTTTTTTTTTAATTTTTTTTTAATGTTTTATTTATTTATTCATGAAAGTCAGAGAGAGAGAGAGAGAGAGAGGCAGAGGCAGAGGGAGAAGCAGGCTCCCCCGGAGCAGGGAGCCCGACGCGGGACTCGATCCCAGGACCCTGGGATCATGACCCGAGCCGAAGGCAGATGCCCAACCATCTGAGCCACCCAGGCGCCCCCCAACTGTGCATTTCTAATACTAATTTTTATCCTGAACTTCAAACTGCAAATGCACTTGCCCGGTATGTGGCCATACCTTGACATTCCACAGACATTTTAGGCTATAAATATTGAAGAATAAATTCACGATTTTTCTGCCTTCTCTTTGACATCCCCCTGCATTTCTGTTTCAATCTGTGTTCCAATCGCTACATTCAGTAACCGATTTCCTAAACCTGGAAATCATCCTTACGGCCTCTCCTTCTTAACCCAGAGACACAACATTCAGCTGCACAGTTTATACTCTGAAAAAGGAGGCCCAGACCATAGGGATAGATTGGGAGTTGGCAAACTTTTCTGTAAAGGGCCAAATAGTAAATACCTGAAGTTTTGCATACCATACAATTTTTCTGTCACAACTACCCAAGGCTCTGCTGCTGTATTGTGAAAGCAGCCTTTGACAATATGTAAACACACAAGTGTGACTATGTTCCAATATAAGTTTATTTACAACAATAGGTATAGTGTGTCATTTCCTGGGATGGAGTTAGGATTGCTGAAATTCAGCCTATGTTCTACTTGTCTAAACCCTGGGTCCAGCACAGGCAGTGCTATTAGACTAGAAGTCATCTTGCCCTTAGCCCCCACCTCTAAATTTAATCATCTCATCATTTTAATTTTACTTTCCAAATATTTCTCTTTTTTTTAAGATTTATTTATTTATTTGAAAGCAAGAGTGCAAGCAGGGGGAGGGGTAGAGGGAGAGAAACACAAGCAGACTCCGCCTAGCCGAGTACAGAGCTCAATGCTTAATCTCACCACCCTGAGATCATGACCCTGAGATCAAGACCTGAGCTGAAATCAAGAGTTGGACACTTAACCAACTGGATCACATAGGTGTCCCTTTCCAAATATTTCTTGAATATTTCCTTTGTAAATTCAATGTCATTGCCTAAATTTGGTCCTCAAATAGTACTTCAAAGCCTTCTTAATCTGACCTTATATCTTCAAATCTTACAAACAAAATTATCTTTCTAAAATTCAAATCAAACCATGTTACCAACTACATGAAAAGAAAATTCTTATGTACTTTTAAAAAGCACGTTTGATCTGACTTTCTGGTCTCATCATCAATCACTTTTTCTCCTGAGCTTATATTCCAATAACACTGAGTCACCTGTAGTCCCAGGAATCATAGTTATCTCTATATCCACTATGTCTTCTGTTTTACTGCCTTCCCATTTTCAAACTTTCCCCTGGCAAAGTCACTTTCAGACTCTAACACTGGCCCCACTTGTCATGTTTCTACAAATACTTCCCTTTAATTTCCCACAACTGCTGACAGAATTAACAACTTCCTCTTCTTTGCAAGTTCTTAAGCTTATACACATGTCAGTAATTGAACATATTACACTGCACTGGGATATATCTGACTACATTTTTTTTCTCCTTACTAGACCACATGCTCCTTAAGCCCAAGGATTGTATTTCAGTCATCTGTGTGTTTGCAATGCTTAGCATAGGGCCCAGCATAGAGTGAATTCTCAATACTTGTTGAACTGAACTGACCTGAATTTTAATTTAAAACTGAAATCTGTAAGCAGCTACTCCCGCAGGCTGCTTCCCCAAGAGGTCTAAAATACTGAGATGTTTCCATTTTGAATGCAGAAAGAACTTCCAGATCATTTTAGGCCTTGGATGGAAATTGCCAACGAACTCCCTCATTTGATTGAGAGTCACCAGCTTCAAGCTCGAGTTAACAAGGTATATTTTTTTTATTCTTCTCTTTAAGTTCTTCTTTTTTTCTCTTTAAGTTCTTCTCACCATCCTATTTTCAACCCCACACCACATATCTTTACCAGCATTATGATAGTGGGTCAGTGAACCCAGGGACACCCATCATTGCCATTGAAATTACCAAGAAAGCTACCTAACCTTTCCTGAAGAGTGGAATGATATTATATCATATTATACACGCATTTCCCTAAAAATTCCCAGAGCCTGCCCAAAACAATTTCTGGAACATATTAAGCACTGAACAAATATTTGTTTATAGAAGGGAGGCTGTCTGGTTAGGAATTATAGGTAAGCTGATGGATAAGCTCTAGCTGGAGAAGGGTAAGCAATGAAATTCTCAGTGTCCTCCTTGCATGTCACATGGTTAGTGCTCCTCTCCCTTGATTTTACCATCGGGGTCTCATAGAATAGTTGGGTCAAGAGAATTACTGAGTTATAAAGTCAGGTTGGTAGGTTCTGCAGAAATAATTGGTAAGGGGAGCAATATTTCCAAGAGTGAGTAAGAAAGAGTGAAACTTCTTGGTCCCCAGAGCACTGACAGTATCCCACAGTAATAATAAGAAGATGCAACAAGAAAATATAGACTCTGATTCAGGAAGACCTGAGTTTGAATCTTGGTTTTATCATATAGTAGCTATCCAACTTGTAAAGAAATTATTTCACCCCTGTAATTCTGCCTCCTTTTTTACAGAAGGGGAGAAGTTCTGGTTTCATAGAATTGTTGTAAGGGCTAAATGACTTCCTAAGTCCCTGCCATTCAACAGTGTTCAATATATATTTATACTTCCCTCTAGTCTCTTCTCCATGAGCTTTAATCCCACCAATTTGGAGTGCCATGAGGTTTCAGAGATACAAGAAAGGTTTTCCATTCTCCCAAATTCTCCATCACTGACTTAAATATATTTAATATCTATAAACACTAATGGATTTAAAAGTACTTACTAGATGCCTGCTAAGTGCAGGCACAAGATTGGAAATCCTGTAAGAGATGCAAGAGACTGCCTTCAGTGTTTATGAAGATGGCAAACTAAACCTAAGAATTTATTTTCCTGCTGCATAAAGTCTCTAATATGACCAAAGAAACACAAAAAGAAGAAAAATAGGAAAATATCTTTAAGTGCAGGAAAACAAGAGAAAGTACCAAAGGTGGATAAAACTTTAAGAACGTTTGTTTGATATTAAGCAAATTATATCAGAGTGTATGGTACCCATGCAAAGCATTCAACCAAAGCAAATTAAGCCTTTGTAGCCTCCTTCTCCTGTCTCAGATAGCAGAGCCTAGAAGCAAGGTGGAGTCAGGAACAATTTGTAGAAGGACAGATTAAGGTTCAATTTGTTAACTACATAGATCTCGGCACCAGGCTTTCCTTAGGCTTTATTTGATTGAACTATCATGAGTGAAGTGAATAACCCATTGAATTGGTGCTTCTCATATGTTAAATATCAGTGAGAAAAGGCCGGGAGTGTACAGCTAACTTCTGGCTACTGAAAACATGGAAGTTCGGGAAAGAGTTTAGTGCAGCTGTGAAAATAATCCCCTGACACTTCTACTGGGTTGAATAGTGTCTCTCCAGAAATTGTCCACTTGGAACCTAGGACTGTGGCGTTATTTGGAAATAGGGTCTTGGCAAATGTAATCAAGGTAATTGAGGTCATACTATATTAGGTTGCATTCTAATTCAATATGACTGGTGTCTTTATAAGAAGAAGGAAATGTGGACACAGACACACAGATACACAGAGAAGAACACCATGTGAAGACAGAGGCAAGAGATAGGAGAGATGGATCATCTAAAAGCCAAAGTGTGCCAAGAGTTTCTCGTAATCACCAGAACCTGGGAAGTGGACATGGAATGGAATGTCCCTTAGAAACTTCAGAAGGAACCAACCTTATAAACACCTTAATCTCAGACTTCCATTGCCCAGAATTGTGAGAGAATACAGTTCTACTGTTTTAAGCTTCTGAGTTGGTCTTCATTTGTTGAGGTGGTCCTAGGAAACTATTACAACAGTCGTGGCCAGTCTTTACATTTCTAATTACGTATAAAACATCTAACTACATGAAACCACTTTTAAGACTTCACTGGGCACCTGGCAGTCTCAGTAGGTAGAGCATGCAACTCTTTATCTTGGGGTTGTAGTTTCGAGCCCCACATTGGGTGTGGAGATTACTTAAAAAAAAAAAAAAAAGACGTCACCAGCACAGGCTGAGACTGAATCAATTGGAAATCAGTCATGAAAAGCAAATATTATGGCTTCCAGGACCATACATGGAGCTACAGACTACAAAATTGTTCTCTTGAGTCCTTTACTTGGCACAAACAACACAATAATTGCATTTACATTTTTGATCTTAAAGTACATCCAGGCAAGCCACCTTGCTCTTAGAAAGCTCCAGGAAACCTATCCATATTTTGGTAAAAAACCAACCAACCAACAAACAAAACTTGCTTATTGGTTTAGGCACATCCATCTTATTCCAGAAAGAATCCCCTTTCTCCACTCCACCCCCACAGAACAAGGCAATTGACCTGTTCACAGGAAGCTGCACAAGAAAAGACTCAGCAGCATTCTGGGGACATGATTAAGGGATGCTTTATTTTTTTATTTTTTTATTTTTTAAGGGATGCTTTAATAGCTACTAGTTCTGATAGAACTGACCACCATTCCTGAACATGAATCAATAACACCAAATTACCATATAATATGAAGAGAAGGAATAAGTCAAAACACAGTAGGAAGAGACTGGACATTCACAACTAATGGTTCTGATGGGATCAATGTTTTTAAAATTTTAATTAATGTCTCCAGTGTATTACTTCATAAAAATAGGTGAAATTGTACATAAAAGGAACTAATGGGGGAGCAAAGAAATAAGCAAGCAAAACACTCAATATAAACTCAAATAAATCAGAGAAACATTGGTTCTAGAAAAAGGACACACTTTTCATAAAGTATAAAGCAAAAATTAAAGAAACGCCAACTCTCAGGAAAATAAAGTATGTGAAAAGGAAAAATGGATGACCCAAATTCTACTAAATCGAATTTCCCAAAGCAGAGAGGTGTAGGTGGAGAAAAAACAAAGCTTCAAGCATGTAAGAACAAAGTTTTTCAGATCTTATGAAAGATTTGAGTATTTTATCAGAAAGACAATGGGGGTGCGGGGGACACATACAGATATCCTTGTGAAATTTCAAATTTTCTAGAATAAGAAGAAAACTTCGCAAGTTTTAATCAGGAAACAATAAAAAACAAAACTAGTTTACTTATGGAGTAATGGGATTATTTATAATAATAAGTATTAAGAGACAATTTAACACCTCTTTGAACAACTAAAATTAAAAAAAAAAAAATTCAGCATTACCAAGTGCTGATGGCGATATGTACCAAAAGAGACACTCATTCATTTTGCTGGTGGGAATGCAAAATATAGTACAGCTACTTTGGAAGATGGTTTGGCAGATTCTTAGGAAGTTGAATATAGACTTTCCATAAGACCCAGCAATCACATTCCTAAGTATTTACCCAAGTCAACCGGAAATTGATGTGCGTGGAAAAGCTTGTATGTGACTGTTTATAGCAGCTTTATTCATAATCCCCCAAACTGGAAATAACCAGCTTGTCTCTCAACAGGAGAATAGTCAAACTGAGTACGTGGACGGAACGTTTTTATTGCCCCCAAACACAGATTTTGAATTCCTAATCCCCAATGTGATGGAATTAAAGGGTGGGGCTTTGAGGAGGTGATTCAGTCAGGGTTCTCCAGAGAAATAGAAGCAATAGGATATAGAGAGACATAGAGAAAAAGATTTAGTAGGAAGGACGGGCCCACATGACGATGGAGGCTGCAACCTGCAAGTTAGGGGCCGAGGAAAGCTGAGAGCCAAGGAAGCCAACAGTATACATCTCAGCCTGAGTCCGAAGGTCCAAGCACCAAGCCCCAAGAGCACCGATGTCTCAGCATAAGCAGACAGAAAATTCACCCTTCCTCCACTTTTTTGTTTTATCCAGGCTCTAATGGAATGGATGATGCCCACCCAAATCGCTAAGCGCGATGTTCTTTACTCAGCTTACTGTTCAAATGCTATTCTCTTCCAAAAACACCCCCTCAGAGACATACCCAGAAATAATGTTTTGCCAGTTATCTGGGCATCCCTTAGCCTGGTCAAGTCGACACATTAAACTGACCAACACAGAATGTAACTAGGTCATGAGCATGGAACCTTCAAAGAGGATTAGTGTGCTTATAAAAGTGGCTCCTGAGTGCTATCTGGCCCTCCTTAGCTATAATGTGAGGTTACAACAGGAAGACAGCTGTGTGCAACCCAGAAGAGGACCCTCCCCAGAACCCAGTCATGCTGGCACCCCATCCTGATCTTGCTCTTCCAGCCTCCAAAATTGTAAGAATTAAATGTCCACTGTTTATAAGCTACCTAGTCTGTGGTACTTTGTTATAACATCCCTGACTGGATGAGACACCGAGTTATATCCACACAATGGAATGCTATTCAGTGTCAAAAATGTATTTTGCTAAATGAAACATGTCAGACTCAAAAGACCGTATATTTTTTTTTTTTAAAGATTTTATTTATTTATTTGACAGAGAGAGACACAGCGAGAGAGGGAACACAAGCAGGAGGAGTGGGAGAGGGAGAAACAGGCTCCCCGCAGAGCAGGGAGCCCGATGCGGGACTCGATCCCAGGACCCTGGGATCATGACCTGAGC